TAATTCATATGGCGCATGTGGCGACATCTACGAGTTAACTCAAATCCTCTCACACATTATTGTTTACCCTTACAAAAACTATAAGTCAACTATGAGTCATTATGTAGAAAAGTAGCTGATCTATTAACAAAAATCTATTTTATTTTTTTCGCTTTAACATCCTGTATCTCAGTAAGGAGCAGACTAAGACCCATTATTGTTAATGAAAATATTATTATTTTGGCCTCCTGAACGTACATTTACAATTTGGCCCATTACTTATGAATCACCCTGTATAATCAAAGAGTATAATAAATAAAAATTCAATGCCCGCTGATATACAAAAGACCCGCTGGGGCCTAAGTGCTGTGAAGGAATGACATGAAACTACATACATACTTAAGAGTTATAAATATGAGCTATGTTCAGATGAGGGTGAGGAATATATCGAACCATCATTGCTAATTGATGTTAATTGAAACACAAAAGAAACATGTTTGTCCCAAACAAAAATTAATCTGTTGAGTGGTACCCTTAACACAATGGTCTGTAATATTTTTACTCCCAGATGCATCAATGTGGAGAATTTTTCGAAAATATAAAAATTAGAAGAGTGTCACAAAAACAACAAAAGTTGTAGCAAATTTTTCAAAAATCATTCACTCATAATAAAGTGATATTTCATACCCAGTTATGTGGTTAATTAGATTTCAAACAACATTAATAAACAATTTTACTTCACTGGGATTTCAGATTTTGGTCCAATATTTCCTTCCATTGGTTCAACAATAATTTTATCAGTCCGAACATTGTTATAGCAAGTTTTAGCAACAACGCGAAAATGCAATTCCAAATTTTCATTATTTTTTAACACCAAACTATTGGATGTAACCATACGTAGTAAAGTCGGTTTTAATTTTAAATGTGGTGCGGAAAAATAAACGCACGGATTCTTCGCTTTGCCAACGATTAAAAAATCTGTTTTTAAATTATATTTTTCAATTATAAATGTAAATAATCCTTCGAACGTTCCTAGTTTTTGCGGGAGAAAACTAAAAGTGCTTTTTCCCATTTTTCCCTTAGAAACGTGTCCCTTTGGTGTCAAACAATCAAAGAGGGTGATATCTTTGGAGTTAATCGGGGAAACTTCCCATTTAAAATCGAAATTTTCACCTGTTGGGTTTATGATATGAAACGTTTTGGTGTGATTCAACTCCAAGCCGATTCCTTCTATCTCAACGATTCTTGTGTTTTCATCCACTGTATCTCTACAAATTTTCCTACCGCATCTTTCGCTCGTTAAATAATTCGTTGGGGAAATATTAAAATGATAAAGAGGCATTATACTTTTTGCTTTGACGGTAATTTTTAAATTATTCGATTTTGGGTAAAGATTTGGCACGCAAGATTTTAAATAAACCAAATAATCAAAAGGTATAATTGGTTTAAAAATTACTTTAAACGTCTTTGTTTCGTTTGGCGAAATTACAGAAATATCCGGTTCGACTGTAAATGGCAAATCCATTAAGACGTTATTTGACGTTGATGATTTTTTTGATATTGAAGCTGAATTCAAACTGGATGATGGACGAGAAATGGTGTTTTCGTCGAAAGCAAAATTTTCTAAAAAGAAATAATTAATAAATTGAGTCAAAATCTAAAGTAACTTACCATGACCTGATAAATGACGTTTAGCTTTAGTACAAAATTTTTTAGTTTCATCTTTAGCCGATTGTATTGATCTTTTTAGTCCAAAAGTTACATCTTTTAATTTGATTGTATCATCAGGATTTAGGCTGATTTTCCACTTAATAGAAAGCGGCATCATTGAGGTATTTTTAATCGCAAATTTATTTGAGCGTTTCTAAAAGTGGTTTGTAATGAATTTATTTAATAAATTATATTTAAGATTGTTTACCTCAAACATTAAGGTGTCTTCCATCTCAATATTATCATCATCAACTTCGTAATCACAATAATCAGCGTTTACGGAAAATACTAACAGAATTAGTTTTGTTGATTCAGGAAGAATATTATAGGAAGGTTCGCTAACATCACCGATTGATTTCCTTCTGAATACGTAAGAACTGGATACATCAAATTCTGATGAGATATCTCTCGAAGATGCTATTCTACCTCTAAAGCTGCCTGATTTTATTCTAGCTTGCGATGATCTTCTACTTCCATCACTAAAATGGTTCAAAATTATTAAAAATTAATAATTAAAATTTATTATTTTATACCCTTGCGAATAACTTGATAAAATCGCGGAGCTTTTTGTTGGATCATTTGATGCGGAATTATTGCTCCATAATGTGATATTTTGGCGCTCATCCCAAGAGATTGGTTCCATATCCGGTTCTAAATATTCAATTTGAATGAGGATTAATTCCAAAGCTTCTGATACGATGGTAATTGGTTCTCGAGTTAAAAACGTTACAATAACATCCTTGGAAGCGCCCGGTTTTAAATGACCAACACTCGGTATAAACACAAAGTTTTCCATTGCGGGAAATTCAAATCGATAAATATTTAAAATCGAATTATTTCGAATTTTGAATATTTTTTTTTGTAATGCATTTAAAGGTGCGCAACCGAAATCTATGTTGTAAGATGTGACACCTTTATAATCTGATTTATATTCTTCAGAAGATAAAGATGGAATATTTTCTAAAATTATGTCTTCAATGAAACTTTCGGCGATAACGTGAATCTAAAAATAAAAGTACTTAATAATTAAGAATTATATGTATAGTAAAACCTCGATTTAACGGACCTCGGGTTTAACGGATCACGGATTTAACATACATCTTGGTAAAGATACAAAGTCACTTATAAGAAGATTACCTTCAAACCGCCGAGGTCGCTTGCGGGTGAGGATCTTCCAAAATTCGATTTTGTATTAATATATAAAAATCTAGCGCCTCGCCCGCAAGCGACCTCGGCGATTTGAGACGATATCGTTCCTTATATATCTTAGTAAAGATACAAAGTGACTGATAAGACGACATTTACCTTCAAAACGTAGAGGTCGCTTGCGGGCGAGGCGCTAAAATCTTCTTAAATTTGATTTCGTGTTAATATATAAAATCTAGCCCACAAGCGACCTCGGCGATTTGTGGCGAAATCATTTATTATACAGGGAGTCTCACGTAACTGGTTCGTTAGAACTTTTTTTTAGAACTTCCGGTCTACCGGAAGTAGACCACAACTTCGTTATTTTAAATGGAATGCTATAGTTTTTATTACACCTTTCAATTATACATAAAAAAATATGTTGACTTTGATAAAAGTTGTTGGTACCTACCATTTTTTGTTTTCGAGTTATTTTGATTTTAAGCTTTTTTTGGCAAATTTCACCATGCTCTTTAAAAGCCTATATCTCAGTTAACGTTCATTAAAAAAACCTCTAAATTGGCACGATTACTCTTCAGATGTTGCCAAATAGATTGTCATTTCTTGTATCAGAGTATCTTATACAGGGTGGTCAAAAATTGAATTACCGTTTCTCCATATTCAATGGCTAGAAAGTCGAAAATTTTAAATGGAATACCCCGTATTTTTTTACCCTATCAGAAAGGGAATTTAATTCTCTACAAATTATCTATAAACATTCCTATACCTATTTATTGTAGTTTCCCTGATATTGGGACATTAATCAAAGCATGCACGGAATGCGGGAAAACGTTTGATTTTTTTATTAGAAGGCAATGGAATTTTGACAGTTTTTGGTCCATATTTGTGTTATTGTTGTTGTTACTTACTTTTGATCACGAGTGAAAGTCATTGTATATCATGGCAAATTATTCCAACGCCGATATTTTAAATTTGTTTTATATTCATGGCAATGGCCTCCACGATCTCCAGATTTAACACCATTGGATTTTTATTTGTGGGGTCACTTAAAAAATCAAGTGTACAATTCACCGATCAACACACGACAAGAGTTGCGTGATAGAGTGATGCGTGCACTACGTACTATTGATGGCGACCAACTTCTACGGGCCACAACCGTAGAAGTCGAAAGAAGAGTTGAAAAATGTTTAATGGTGAATGGTCAGCATATCGAACAGTTTTAATTTTTTTATAATTTTAAGTTTTTGTTTTTTTATATGTTATTCATTCTAATTTCTGTTATTAAATTGTTGTTTTTCATTGTTTCATTTATTCGTTTTTCTGTTGGTTATTTTTGGTAAATAAAAGCGAGCAAGCTAAAGGTTATTCAACCATAGTTAATTGTAGAAATAATACCAATAATAATTTAAATAAATTAAACGATGAACTGTCAAAATGTCTTGGCCTGCTAACAAAAACACAAACGGGCTTTGGGATTTTATGTCTGATTTTGATTAATTTTCCAATATCAGGGAAACTACAATAAATAGGTATAGGAATGTTTATAGATAATTTGTAGAGAATTAAATTCCCTTTCTGATAGGGTAAAGAAATATGGGGTGTTCCATTTAAAATTTTCGACTTTCTCGCAATTGAATATTGAGAAACGATAATTCAATTTTTGACCAGCCTGTATAAGATTCTCTGATACAACAAATGACAATCTATTTGGCAGCATCTGTAGAGTAGTCGTGCCAATGCAGAGCTTTTTTGAATGATCGTTAGCTGAGATATGGGCTTTTAAAGACCATGGTGAAATTTGTCAAAAAACACTTAAAATCAAAATAACTCGAAAACAAAAAACGCTAGGTACCAACAACTTTTATCAAAGTCAACATATTTTTTTACGTATAATTGAAAGGTGTAATAAAAACTATAGCATTCCATTTAAAATAACGAAGTTGTGGTCTACTTCCGGTAGACCGGAAAGGGTGGCCATCTTGAAAATATTTTAGATCGAAAGTTTAGAATGAACAACCCATGCTACCAAAATTTCAAACCAATACGAATAGTGGAACCTTAAAAAGTTCTAACGAACCAGTTACGTGGGACACCTGTATATCTTACTAAAGATATAAAAAGTCTGTGATATCTACTCCTTATTAATCCGTTAATCGAGGTTTTACTGTAATTAACATTGTACAGAAAAGAAATCGAATGGATTATTAATAACATAGACACGTATTGTTGCTTCGATTTTGACATCTTTTGTTGGAACAAATTCTAATTCGCATTTTGATTTAGTATTAGGTTGAACCGTTAATACAGCTGAACGTTTTGTAATACCTAAAATAAAATAAAATTAAAAATTTATCAAAGTTATAATTTTTTTTTACATTTAGCATTTTCCTCCTGTTCCACCTTAAATAAAAACATATCACTTTCATCGTGCACATCCAGCATAACTTCGCAATCGATGACTCCAACGTTTTCTAATACGATTCTTTTAATACTCGTTTTTCCCACATAAACAGGGTTAAAAATTAACAAACAATTATTTGATATTTCATCCACTAACGGTTCGATTATTTTTAATTCGGGAATATAACCTTCACCTTTTAATTCAACTTGAAAACATGCAGGTGCACCAATTGGTGAGTTATAACGCACTTCGAGCATTTCCGAATATTCCTAAATAATTAAATTAATAAACAAGAAATTTGATTTATAAAGACACATACAGTTAATGAATCCGGTGTAAACGAAATTTCCAAAAAAACATCTTCAAACGCATCCAATTGGTGTTGATTTGGTTGAACAGAGAAGGCTGTTTTATTAAGAATCTCAGCGGTAAGGTCTGTTATAACGGCACAAGTGCTTTGAAATCGTAATCTTGTTTTTGTTGTGTTGTTTATAAACGTTTTACTAAAATATAAAGCTTGTTCTTTTTTAACGAAATAACAATGATTTCCCGCCTAAAAATATTGTTTTAATTTTAATAATAATTTTATTAAGTATTATTACTTGTTCTGGACAATTAAAATCGGCAAAGTTGCTCTCTACGATATATTGATCGCAGAAAATATCTTCTACATAAGTAAAATCAACACTTGGTGTGTCACCTTTAACGGTTAAAACAACCGGAATTCCTTTTTTATCCTTAATTTTACATTCTGATATAAAGAAAACGATGACCTCTTCAATTAAACCGATCGTTTTCGGTTTAGCAGTAACAGTAATAATTGTTGATTCTTGAGGTTCAAGATCAGAAGTCGTTGTTGTGATCGTAAAACATCCCACGACCAATTTAGTCGGTTTAAGCTTTCTCTTTGGTTCACCTTTATCTTTTGAACCTTTGCTACTTTTTGAACTTTTACCTTTACTACTTTTCGTTTTTGAGGATTTCGTTTTACTTGATTTATCTTTTTTTGATGATTTTTTACCCTTTCCTTTGCCTTTCCCTTTCCCTTTAGCCTTTTTGCCTTTACCTTTCGCCTTTTCCGCTAAAACTTGTTTTAATGACATTATCTTAAAATCAAACTGAAATTTTCCCATGTTTGTTAAATTCAACATGGCGTTTTGTTCAGTTCCAACCAATTGGTGTCCGAAATAAACTTCGCTTGGTGGGCATAGTTGATAACTGAAAATAACAAAAATGTGAATAATTTTTATTTTTTTAACGGTAATTATTTCGTACATTGAAAGTTGTGTTTTTGCCGAGCCCGTTATTACGAAAGTCATCATTGCGTTTTGAGACGGTGGATCTATAACGACACATTTAAAAATGGGAACATCTTTAAATTCAACATCTTCGTTCGAATTAAATGTTATTGTAGCTTTTGCCGGTTTATTACAAACTAATGTTAACTGCTCGGGTTTTACCGTAAAAAGTGATCTATATTTATCATCTTCTTTCATACCGTGGTATTTATCTACAGGGGCAAATCTAAAATAAAACACGTTTTATTTTAATTAAATAATTTAAACTAATTACTTACATAAAATCCATATTGTATTTTATTTTACTTAAAATTTCAATTTCATTCGAATGTTCCATTCGAGCTTTTACTTCCCCAAAATTGACTTCTCTTGGACAGTCAACATCTATATTTAAAACTTCAGCTGAGAGTTCGATTTTTGTTACTTGTAAAGGGATTGTTAATTTATTAGTTGCATGAAGAACCTAAGTAAGTTTAAGTAGAGTAGAGACTAGTATAATAAAAAAAAATTTGTTTACCTCCACATTCATAACAACATTAGGTATATCTTCTAAAACATCAGCAACAAAACTAACAGTTATGGTTTGTCTTGAACAAGATGTCATGATTCCTTTTAAAGGTGTAACTTTAAAAAATTGTAAAACTTCTTCAGCAGCTAAAATTCTCCAAATAATAGTAACTAAAGATTCGTTATAAAACGTTATAGTTTTCGTAACCATTTTATTCAATAAAGTCCTTTCGAAAGCGATCGAATCCGGTTCCGCGTAAAATTCAAAATCAACTCCCAAACAATTAAAATTGATCAATTCAATTTTTGGATTATTCGATACGATAATGGCTAATTGGCCCATTACATTACCAACGTTGTTTGGTTGAGCGGAAATTGTAACAACTTCCGATTGATTGCTATTAATTAAAAGTTCATCTTGGCTTAATTTATAAACATTGTTTGCAATCGGATCCAGAAATAATAATTTAACGTTACATGGCAATAATGAATCGTTTTGGAGTATCATATCGGTGAAATGTTCTAAAGCTCTTGTGTTATTCGCGTAGGATGATATCAAAATCGGTCCAAATTCAAATAATTTTTCGTCATATAGAAACGAGTTGAATTGAGATTTCATTTTTGATCTTGATTCGAAATTATTTTGAAACATAATAATTGGATCAATGGTTAATTTTGGAATATCGCAATAACCAACACATTTAATTAAATATTTTGTTGGCCAAGATACTAATTCTATCGTAAAAATATGTTCGTATCTTCCACATTCTTCAGGGGCAAAATTTACTAAAAATTGGAATTTTTCACCCGGATTAATCACTTGTCGCCTTGTTAATGGACCAATTACTAATGGTTCTTCTCCACGTTGATTCGCTTCACTTATTTGCGACAACAAACTTTTTGTTGTGCTAAATAACGATTCTGATTGTGAGGCTTTTTTCTTTTTAATTGCGTTGGAAGTGCTTTTTCTCAAACTAAATTTAGACGCGGATGATTGCGATATCTCCTTATCAGTTCCTGATATAGTTACATCTTGTGATTCTTCCGGTTGTGGAATAACATCAAACAAATTAAATATATCCGACACATTTGGATTGCGCTTTTTTAAACCAGGTTTTTGAGTAACCGTAAATGTTTCAGTTGTAGGTATTAATTTTATAATTTTAGATTCAGCAAGTGACTCTCGGGCCATTTCGAGATCTATATTATGAGCTAAAAAGTTGATTAAGGCTGTATCTAAATCCGGATTTCTCTCTGATTCGGCGTTATTTAAAAACCAAACTGGTATACCCAAAGCGAATGCTTCTTTCATTTCATCTTCAGTAAATTCAGTTTTTGGTTCAACAATTTCGGGTGGTTTATCGACCGCTGCACCTTTTTTACTTGAAACACTTCCAGCTTTTGATTTACCTTTAGCCACTTTTGCTTTTAATGATAAATCCTAAAATAAAATAAGGTTAAGTTAAAATATAGGGATATATACAGTAAAACCTCGATATAACGGATTAATACAGGAAAGGGTGTATTATATCAAGACGAAATCGTCAGATTTCGAAAATTCTAGCGCGTCGCCCCTTTACTGTATTTTATTTATATAAATTACTTTAGTTAAAACACATGTTTCTCTATCCCAATATTGAAGGGTGTGTAAAATATCACCCATTAAAGCATCGGATGCTTCCATAGCCTTTTTTCGTTCAATTTCTTCAGGATTAGGTTTTGCTAAAAATTAAAATTAAATTTTAAACAGACTCAATAACTATGTTTATTACCTTTTTTTCCTTTAGATCCCTTAGATTTTTTAGATCCTTTAGATTTTTTAGATCCTTTAGAAGCTTTCGATCCTTTTGATTTTTTTGACTCACTTTTACTTTTTTTGCTACCTTTTTTGTCTTTCGCAGACCCCTTTATTTCGAGTTTCTTTTTTGCGTCTTCTTTTTTGTCTTTAGTTGTTCCTTTAATCGGTATACCTTTTGCTCTCATATCAATTCGAACTCTTAAAATAAAAAAAAAAATGATATAAATAAAACGTTTTAAATTAAAAAAGAAATCCAATTACTGTACATCTGCTAGTTTTTTAATAAAATCCTGTTTTCTCGGTACTAAAACTTCTTTTTTAAATAAACTAAATTCTTCGGTTGAAATTTGTTCGTATTCTTCGTTATCCATGTCTAATAAGTATTGAATTTGAGCCTTTTTTGATATATCAATTAGTTTCGCTCCTTCTTCTTGAATCTTTTTTGTTTTTTCGGTGTAATCTTGGAAGGTATAAGAATATATGATGAAATGAATGTAATAAAGGCTACCCACAGATTTCAAGATACAATTTAAAACTTTCAAAGGTTGTTTAATAAATAAACTAGTTAAACTAGGAATTATTAATCCTTCTGATAATGAATTTAATCTTGATTCAACTATTTCATAGAGTAAATCTTCAGGTAACCCAATAAATGTTGGTCTTTTATCAACTTTAGGTTTCGCTTCTTTTGTACTTGCTGATTTTCCAGATTTTTTTGATGATTTTGATTTGCTTCCTTTAGACGACTTAGATGATTTTTTACTACCACCTTTACTTCCTTTTCCTTTACCTTTCGCGTCATCTGGTTTTGGTTTTGGTGTTCTCTTCGTTTTACCAGTTAATAACAAGTCAATTTTCTTTTGTAAGCGATCGTAATCATCAGCTCCCGGCTCCTCCACTAAATCTGTATCAGAAGCAATTACTCTGAAAGCGTTTGAAATTAATTCGCCCACTTTTATAGCAGCCAAGCTTTCTTTTGAAACAATTGCGTCAAAAATTAACATATCAATTGTGTATACTGGAAGTTTTAATGTTAATCCAGCTTTATGCGCTACTTGAAAATAATCTAAAAAATATGTTTAATAAAGGATTTGTTAAATTTATTATGTTAAAGTACTCGTTGATGGGGATCCATGAAAAACAATCAAAATTCCATTTTTTGTTGGGTCGACATCTGTAATTTGACTATCATTGGTTATTAAATCTTCAAAAGCTTGTTTTATCGGATCCGAATACAATAATTTAACTGAAGAAACTTGTTTGTCTTTACAATTTTGTAATTCCTCTTTAATCGATTGTTGAAGTTCATTGGATGTTTTTCGCTTTACAAGATCATCAAATGAAAAATTTGTTGGCATAGTTGGCATACGCCTTAACGACTTTCTTCCGAATTGTGCTTCAGATGCTGATAATGCACTCCCTTTTCGTTTTTTTAATAATTTGCTACCAGTTGAAGATAAACTTCTTTTGTCTTTTGCAACTTTACTGCCAATTTTGCCTATTTTGCTAGTCCTTGGAGGTGATAAATTTGATGTACTAATTACAACACTTTTTTGACTCGCCGCGGTTAATAGTATAGCTAATTCTCTCTCTTCTTCTTGCTTAAGTTTATCCATTTCTTCTTCCCACCATTTTTGTCCAATCGTATTTATTATATTGTTGTAAAAATCGAAAATCGCTTGAGGGTATGTTTCACCAGGATTTATTTCGGGAAGATATAAAGTGTTTGTTCTATAAAAATCTGTTAACATATTTATTATTCTTTCATTTATTATGATTATCCTTAAAAAAAAAGAATAAATTAAAATATAAAAAAATTAAACCGTATTAACTCATCAAAATCAGCAAAGAAAAACTCAATTGGAAACATTCCAACATTTTCTAAACTAAACACAAGATTGACCTCTTGAGTGTAAGGTAAAGTTGGTTTAAATGCAAGGTTAGGTTTGTCGACTTTTAAAGTAGGTTTGCACCCAATTCCTTTTAACAATATAACGAGTTCTTCTTCGTTTTCTTGAGCTTGAAAAATCAATGATGCTTTTACTCTTCCTGGGAAACATGGTTGAAAATAGACGTCGAAAAGTGCGGATCCGTTTGGATTTAAAATACCACTATTTGTTTTTATAAAGAATATTTGACTTTTATTTTTTATATTGGGATCTAATTCGATTCTTGCCGACCAAATTGATTGAACATAACCACTGAAAAAAAAAACAATAAATTATTTGTGGCAATATTTTTAGTGTATTACTTATTTTCGATAATTATAGATTGTCTCACACAATATCCTAAAATAACATTATCAAAATAAACATTATCTTGTTGACAACTAATATAAGGAAGTGTTACGAAAGCGCGAATTTCAATTGGAATTCTTTGACCATGCGGAACCTAAAACATTTTTTATATTATTTTAATTTTTATTTCACTAAATTTACCGTTAAATATATCTGATCTTTCACTTCAACATCGACAACAGCAAAAGCTTGACTACTAGGATTAAATATAACCACCAAATCACTACTTTCACCAACATCCAATTTCGATTTCGAAACGTAAGCATTGAATCCATATTTCAACAGATTTTTACTTAAATAAACCAATCTAATATCGTTCTTTAACGGGCCGTAATTCAAAATTGTTGTTGTATAATGAACAACGGTGTCTCTTACAACAAATTTAAAATCAATTGAATAGGGAAACGTTGCAATATTAGAAATTGCGTTGGCACATTTTCCAGCTATATGATTACTTAAAAGTTCTGGGTCGTCTTTTAATAATTCTTCAACAGCTTCTCTTTCAGTTGCCATTTGAATGTCTACATCGGTTGGGTAAACATCCTAAATAAAAAAATAAAATATTAAATTATTATATAGTGAATTTCACTTAAGATGCAATATACAAAATTTACTTACTTTGTCCCACAAAAATGCAACATGTTTGAATGTTTCAGTTAGAATAAGATATCACTATGTTGCATATTTTTATTGCACTAAAACTAGAACTAACACTAAAGCTAGAACTAGAATCATTCGGGTTTAGCCATCTTGAAAGACGTGCGGCTAAATCCGAATGTTTCTAGTTCTCAGCCTAGTGTTAATTCTAGTTTTACACTAGCACTATCACTAGAACTCAAAACTATCCAATGCCTGTACTATTAAACTATGTTGCATTTTATGTGGGACAATGCAAATGCAGAGTAGTTTCGTAACTATTGTTACTGCATTCATATATTACGAGTTAATAAACTAAATTACATTAAACGAAATTAATTCCCATTCATAACACTGATTTAAATAATCTCTTGTTTTTAGTGGTAGATCTTCTTTATAACGCATATCAACTTGTGTTAAACACTTGACAACACTTAAATTTTCTTTGGTAAACTTTCCTATGGCTTTATAAGATAAAATAATAATCTCTTCATTGTTTAAAATAGGTCTTGATAAAGAACAAAATACTTGTGCGGGCATTGCAAAACCGTGAATATTCATTGTATATGGTTCTAAATAACCGACTTGTATAATAAACGGTTTTAAAAACTCTCTAGCAATTCCAGGAAAATATTTCACAGTAACTCGAACATCATTATCAACACTAATAGTTTGAATATCATATTGGGTAATTCCTGTATTTGTGTCAATAAAATCTTTATCGTCTTTCATGGTAGCTTGAACTACTAAATCTGCATGTCCAGTGTTTTTAATTAAAACGGATTCTTGGCACATTTCGCAAAATAATCGCCTCCCAAATTCGATAACATCACTTTCAATCGAAAAGCTTATATTCGATGATTTTCCTTTTACCGAAATTATTTCAGTTGCGCCACCTTTTATGTGGCAATGAGCAACGGCATCGATTAATGTATTTGGGCACGGATTAAATTCAAATGAAATAACTTGAGACTCATACGGACGTAAATATCCATAATTTGGGATTAAATCCAAAACTTCGCGAACATATTCCGGATCATCTATTGTTTGAGGAAGCTGTTTTAATGGATCTAAATGTTGTATTGAATCGTCGTAACATTGTACCAATTGGTACAAATAAACTTGCATTTTTTCAAAATGTTCGGCAGTTCTTAAAACTGTTGTTTTGGTAACGGTGTTCATTGGAGGAGGTAGCGTTTCAAAAGCTGTTAGTTTCGGTATATTTCCAAGATATAGTTCGTATTTTCTGTGCAGACGATTTTCATCTTCGATTTGAAGAGCCGAATGTTGTTGAATATCGATTACTTGTGGTATGTTTGGTAGTGAGTATGGATATAATTTCGGGTCTTCTTGATATATTGGTTTTCCTATATTTATCTAAAAATGAGAAATTATAAAATTGGGATTTCAAAATAGATTTTTTTTACTGGATTTGACTCCAATGTGTTTAAATTGAAATCGTTTCTAATCCATTCCCAATGATAAGATACGGGAAGTGGACTAATATTTTTTAGGATCATTTTTTGGGTTGTACTGGAAAAGTTTGGGATGCAATCAAAGTCTACGGAAGCAGGTTCGAATTGAAGAGTTGGATAGTTTTCTTCTCCCACCAAAGGAATCCAATCCTAAATTAAACAAAATTGTTATTATTTAATTAAATATTTTTAAACAATTTTATTCTTACTTTATTCGGATGATTCACATAAGTAAAAACAATCTTTCCTTTAGACGTATTACATTTTTTCTCTTCACTATTCGGTGTAAATTCAACTGTAAACATTTCACATTCGCCGTCAGCTAAAGTAATTTGAACATTACTTAATTGTTCTTCGTCTTGGATTATGTAAAATGGTGGATTAATATTAATAATGATAGTTATTTCTAATTTTGATAAATTTGTTACTGTTAATTCATCTAAAAAAATAAATAAATAATTCATAAACAAACGAATTGTTAAAAAAATTTACCATGAAGAAAGGAGATTGTTCTATCAGGAGTTACATCGATTCTAAATTTCATTTCTTCTTTGGATAACTTTAAAACTGGAACAACAAAATTTGCGGAAAGAATGAAAGAGTTTACGGGCCCAAAGTCTTTTTTCTTTTCGATTTGTGCGTGACAATAAAAATCTTCTTCAATCATTCCGGGTATTTCCGTCGATCCAGCTAAAACGCAATCGATACTTTGGCCTGGTGCCAACTGATAAGAAAACGGGGTAATCGAAAAAATCGATGGTATTAAATTGGCTAGATCTTCTTTAAAAGATTTCAATTTTTTGCATCGCGACCATATAATTTTGTGAGTTTTCTTTCCCATATTAGTAAATTTAACGGGAAGGCTAAACGGAATGTACGTTAATAAAAATCCCAAATTAAATTCGCCATCGAGTTCCGGCTCGCTGTTTATACTTGAACCGACTCCTTTAACAGCTAAGGCGCAATATTGAGTTTCGCTGTTCATCGCGGAAAATTGTAAATTATCTTTAAATCTTCCTGGTTCCGTTAAAAAAACGCTAACTTCTATAATTTTTTTCTCGCTTGGGTCTAATTGCAAAAGATTCTCGCTTAGCTGAAAAACTGTTTTCTTATTTTGTGTTATGTTAACTGTTGCTGGAACTGGAGAATCATTAATCACTTCTAAATTTTGAGTTGCGTTGTGTAACGTTCGAATTTCATCGAAATTCATTACTTCTGGAACTGTTATTACAGGTCCTTGGCCATTACATCTTATACAACACATAAATACATTTTCTTTGCCACCAAAAACTGAGATACTACATCAAAATAATTAATAATTAATACTTAAGGTGAATTAATAAGATCTTACTAAACTTGAGCTGTTGATTGACCAACAAAATTTGTTGATATATCCAATTGAACTTCTTTCGTTTCATAAGCATCAATAAAATCTTCTGGAACTTGAGCGTTATAAGTAATATTAAATTCATTAGCATCTGCATCTTGTGCGACAAACGTATAATAACCGGGATGTTCGTTTTGATTTGTTAAAGTAATGGTTCTTGTATAGATGTAATTAATAAAACATCCCCTCATAAAAATATCTTTCGTTTTACACTCAATTTCCGGTATTAAGCATTTATAACGCATTGGAAGTGATAAAGAATATTTACTTGTACCCCACATTATTAAATATAAACGTTTTGAGTATGCACCCTCGATGTTGGGAAGAAGAGTAAGCTAAAAAATAAAGTTAAAATAATTATCAAAAATCAATTTTCAAACATACTTCTCCAGTTAATGTGGAATTTGGAGCAACAACATCTTCCACCGGATTAAATGTAAACTCTTTAGGATTAAAAACTGACGGTTTTATTGCTTCTTCTGCGTATTCTTGACAGGTTATCGCGTTATTTTCACCGTCTTGAACTATACTTACTTTATATTCAATTGGTACTTGAGTTGTATTGATTAAATTAATACTCTTTGATGTCGGATATCCTAAAGTTACATGGCCAAAATCAATCTCTGTAATATCAAAATTTAATAGGGGGCAAATTATATTTCCCCTGTAACAATAAATTTTAATTGAAAATATTTAAATGAATAAATTAAATGGTTATACTTGAAAGTAAATTTTAATATTTCTCCAGATTCTCGAATAAAAAATTCAATCGTTTCAATAAATTTTCCTTGGATTCTTGATGAAAATTTCATTACAAAAGCACCATAACTACCTGGTTGTATTACAAGATATTCAGGATTAAAACTTACTGTTCCTCCGAAACTTAATGGTGTTGGTTTGTAAGTTATTTTTCCAGGAATATGACCTGAAATAAAATAAAATAGCTAAATTATTAAAGTTAGTTGTGGTGTGGTCTACAACTGTGAGGCTACCTCGCATCAGCTTGAATCTTCAGTGACAAGGCTTACCTTTATTGTGTACAGCAACTTCATATTGGTGTCCAGAACACAAGAAAATATCATTTGCTTCCAATTCGACTAGATTCAATTCTAAAGATGGCCCCAAACCGCAACCACGAACATATAAAGGTATTCTTTCAGATTTGCCAGATACTTCTAAATATAAAGTACTTTCGTAATGTTTAGCTTCTGATGGATTAAATTCCAAAATGAACATTGATGAACTTTCAGGCCAAACTTCTCCCGTCTGTATATTGAAAATTAATAATAATACATTAAAGGAAAATGTAAAATTTCTTTACTGTAGGATAAACCGCCCAATTAGGATCGTTATACAAAAACTTATCCTGCATTTCATATTGTCTTATTTCATCCTCATAAATTCTTTCATAAATCATTTCGTGAGTATGTTGACTGTCGACGATTCCCTGATGAACTCTTCCGTACCATTTGGAACTTTCTAACTCTTTCATATTTTTAAAAGCTTTTTTATACATGTTATATTCTTGTTCTGCTTCTGAAAAATCTTTATATCGTTTCCATTTAAAATAAACCATGTGTGAACTATTATTGAATAATCTAATAAACTTTCTCCTCTTTAAACTCATATAAGTATTTGGAATTTCAACATCAGTATGTTCCAATGTAATATTAGACTCGCACGCGTTAGCTTTTAAGATAACCGTTAGGATTTCGGTTGTTTCGTATGTAATTTGAAGACGTCCGGTGTGCTCGCCGAGCGTGTGAGTTACAAATGTTAAGGACAATTGAATATTTTTACCGGGGCCTAAAATACCTCGATCGGGGTGAACAGAAAATTGGGGGCTTGTGATTAAATTAAAAATTGCAGGGACTTCCCCTATGTTTCTAATTAAAAGTACTCGTTCGGCTACCGTTTTGACAGGGGTTGTGGGCATTATTATTGTATCTGGGATATCTAGAAGAGGACGCGGATGGATTGAAACAATTAAAACATCGATTTTTTCAGAATCAGTTTCGATTGTTAAAGAATGGCAATATTCTTTGAGTTCTCGCGCATTAAAATTCACCATAAATTGATAAGACATTCCAGGCGCAATTTTTGAACAAACTACATCTGAATTGTGTGAAATACTAAATGTAGTTGTTGATTCCATCATAACACGCACCGGTTTTGAAACCTTCAAATATTAAAAGATAAATGCAGAAAAAGATACTTTTTAATATATTATACCTCATAAGTGTTTAAAACTGTTACTGGAATTGTTAAAAAATCTCCGATCTTAAATTTTTGAAAGACAACTATATCGGGAGACACTTTTAAAGTATTTATACTTGATTCAGGCCTCACTTTTATTTTTCTAGATATTGATTTTAGTTTTTCCAATCTCTCCTCAGTACCTATTGACATTTCAACGTTATATTTTGAAGGAATTATCTAAAAAAAATAGTTTTAACTTGACTATTTAAGTTTTAGTAAAACACTTACAATAGGGTCATCAATGTTTTTGTCAATATCAAGAAGGAGGAAGAAAAAATCGTTCATTTTGAAGTACTTGAGTATCGGCGACCAATGTTGTGTTAATTTATTCATTTTTATATAAAAAATAAATATAAAATACTTAGCTAATTAATAGTTTTTTAAGATAAGATAATTCTTCTACAATTGACAAATGTCAATTTTTTTTGTTTTATTCTGTATTATCATATCAACGCCAACTATCTTTTTATTATTTAATCAAATTTATTAAACGAAAAGAAATTATTTAATCTGTTTATTATTACTAAAAACAATATATCTTTTTCTTTGCAAACACCAAAAGCATTTTTTACAGCACAATTATCTTATGATTTGAAATAATAAATTCAAATCTAGGGATATTTCACTAAAAATTCTGTATTGCACCTGGCAACCCTGTCAAAACATAACCTAAAATTAAAGAACAAAATGATTATAAAACATTTATTAACAAAATTCATAAATAATCGTTACATTTTTAAATATCAAAAATGTTTAACAAATTATCATATATTTAGAACATACAGCAATCCTCCTTACGAATTAAATTTAAACATAAATGGGGTTTCGTTAAATAAATATCTCTCCAATTTAGTTCGAGAGTATGAGAAATTGGATCAAACGACTCCTACAAAACGATTAATCGAAATTCAACCAGTTATTTCGTTACTAAATAATCGTGAAGAATTAGTAAAGGATATGCATCAACTAGGCGATTTATTAAACGAATCCGATAAAGGTTTAAAAGAACTCGCATTGGAAGAAAAAAAGGTAATTGAAGATAAAATTGCATCACTCGATAAGGAATTAGAAGAGGTTGTTTTACATCTTGGGGATGAACAAGAGTGTAATTCAATAATTGTTGAAGTCAATGCTGGTGTTGGTGGTCAAGAAGCTATGTTATTTGCAAAAGAACTTTTTGAAATGTATTGTGGTTACACGAATTTTAAAGGATGGTCTTATGATGTAGTGGAATATTCAACAACTGACTTGGGAGGTATCCGACATGCAATAATCTTTATTGATGGAGAAAATTGTTTTCGTTTCTTTAAGTATGAAGCGGGAGTCCATCGAGTACAACGTATTCCAACCACAGAAAAAGCAGGAAGAGTTCATACAAGCACAGCTTCAGTATTGGCCACCCCCCAACCAACTGATATTCAAGTAAATTTACAAAGTAAAGATTTAATAATCGAAACAAAGCGAGCTTCTGGGGCTGGGGGTCAACATGTGAATACCACCGATAGCGCTGTTAGAGTCACTCATGTTCCTACAGGAATATCTATCGAATGCCAAGTGGATCGTTCACAACTAAAAAATAAAAATGTGGCTTTACAAAGATTAAAAGCTAAGTTGTATGAAATGGAATTAGAGAAACAACAAAGCGATATTGCTAGCGCCAAAAAAAATCAAGTGAAATCGAATTTTAGAAATGAAAAGATCAGAACTTATAATTATCCGCAAGATAGAATCACAGATCATCGATTACAAAGCTCAAATGTACATAATTTAAAATACTTTTTAGAAGGTAATGAATTATTAGATAATTTAATTAATAAATTGTATATAAATGATAAAGTAGATCAATTGTTAAATAGTATAGACAATAAATAAAGATTTTTATTAAAAATGTTTTCATGAAAGTGATATTTTAGTTGCCTATATTCACATGGATAACGGGGTTAAATTTTAATGTTGGTATTCCTAGTTTCTAGGGTAACCGACCAATCACAACACAGATCGCAGGTAACAAAAACAATTTCAAATGTCACAACGACCGTTAAAGAAGTGCCTTTTTAGAAGTTTCTTCTGATTCGTAGTATTTACCTATTTTATAAGTGATTTTGAAGAATATCAATTAAAATGGGTGATCCGGAATCATCCGAGATGAGTATGACATTCAATGATATGTAAGTACTTCTTTATTTTAACTTTTTTGATAACATAACCTAAAATTTTTTCGAATACATCAACCCCTTTGATTTAAAATCTTTCAAATATTATTTTAATACTTATTAAGTTGTTGGATCGGTTATAGTTTATGTAAAGAATACCTTGATAAGTTCATAGATAACGTAAATTATACATACGAAAAATAACGGAAGTTCTTTTTACGCATGTGCGATTAGAATAAAAGCCCCTCATTGGCAGTTTGGTCCAAAGCCAAGAGTGTTGATGCTGCACGAACTCTGTTTATCAGCGAACTCTGTTTCAGTCGAGTACAGGACTCGGTTCTGTATGATACCTTATCGATTTTTTTTTTCAATTTAGCGCTATTTATTTCAGCAACGTATTCTTTTCGTTTACGTTAATAGCAATAATCTGTAATATGTGCGCGTTTTGTGGTTTTTAGTGACTCAATTTTGAAAACGATAACAATGTATCGTTTATTATTATATTATGATGCTTCATAGCATTCGGTTTTTCAAGGGGTTGGTTGTTATCAGTGAACTAAATGTAACGGGTTTAATGTGAAAGAGAGACATGTCGTATTATAATAAATATGGGGCGCAAAGGACACCCCCCAGGAAATCGCTTACTCAGCCTTCTGCAACTAGTCCTTTTTGGTAAGATTTAATGATCATTTTAAAATATTTTTAGTTTAATTATAGGTTTTAGAATGAGTCATTGTGTTTGTAAAATTGGGGTTGAATGTGATTATTTAACGACATAATAATATTCCTTGTATTTTCTTGATCAAATAAAAGTTAAAGACCTTTTTTTGATAATATTGTTTACCTTGTTTTGTAAAACTAATAAATACGTCATGGTGACGCCAGGGAAGCCCGATAAATGACGTTCTTGTTCCAATTTCTTTCCCTATTTCCATTGTACTAATTCAAATAAATTAAATATTGCGTGCATTTTTTTTAGGTTTATTTATTGAATACATTATTAGCAACAACAAGATTCAAGAACATTGACCTAACCTTCCATTAATATTAATAAACCCTTTAATAGTCAACAATTGACGCCCAAAACGTGTCCAAGAGAGTTATATTCCAAGTTTACGTCATACTTTTAACACGTTTAAATAGAACTTGTTGCTATAAAATCGTTTCTTGGAAAAGTTATTACTAAAATGCGTTTTGGCAATAATAAATAAACATCAAATAAATACCTCGTTCCTCAATGGGTTGTATCCGAGTGTGTTTAACGACGAGGTCGTTTTTATCGCGCCAATTCCGTTCTTCTAAGATAAATAATAATGATTGTAACGCCGGGTCAAAATGTTAGTAAAAATATGAAAATTATACTATGTGGGCGAGATAACGAATTTTTGATAAAATTGCGGTTGACTACGGTTTTTTTTAGATATCATTTCCTTTCTATTATCTAAGTTTTATTAAGGAAGTCGGAACATAAAGTTAACATTTTAGATATATGTATCTCCATACATCTTTTGCGACTTTGCGTTCCAAGACTCAGTTGTAGCCTTTCATTCTTGCATCAGAGGTGTGTAACTTTGTATTTATGATTTTTTCTTTATTAACATTTAATTCAATGACTGATAAGAAATTTTTTGAATCCTGCTATATTTCCTGTAGTACTGAGCGTTTAAAGAGTTGATTTCAATGTTTTATATCAATCTGATATCTACTAGTCATATTTCAATCTCATGTGATGTTATGCAAATTTTTATCTCCTGAAGCCTTTACAAAACAACTTAAACATGAATCAAGTAATTGGCAACCAAGTTTATAGTAGTGCATAAATTAAAATGTGCTACTTCATATGGCCGGATGACTGGGCTACACAGTTTGGAGCCAAGAGAACAATGAATACCAACTTTTAGTTAACTGATTTTCATTGATATTCACACATTGAGTTATAGCATCTTAGACACATTTCCGTGATTATGACATTAAAATATTATAAAGTAGTTTCCTTTTTAGATGGTGGAGCCCTCTACTATATTGTTTGTTGAGGAGAACGCAATATCGCAATTACTCTTGTTATAAACTTACTAATTGTTTGCTCTGGGAGCAGTATGCTTTAGATTATTATCTTGCTATAGTACACATTTTATTCTTCATCTTCTCTTTTAATCTTTTTCAAAATTATCTGCTATTATTTATTTAATTTGTTGAAGAAGGCTTCTAAAGACGCACGGCTAAACCCGAAACTTTCTAGTTCTAGATCTAGTGTTAGTTCTAGTGACAGTGCAAGTGTAAAACTAGAACTAACACTATACCTAGAAGTAGAATCATTTGGATTTAGCCGTCTTAAGAGGTTACTAGGTCTAGTGTTAGTTCGAGTTTTGCAGTGCTATAAAGCTATGGAAAATGATATTGATTAATTAAATTATTATTGTATACTTTTTCATGTTTCTCGATGTATGAATAGAATCTCTGGCTAACTTCACACCAACCATATAGCTAATATACTTTTTTAAATATGTTATCTTATTCTAATGTTTGCTTGTTACTCATATAAATTTCAATGTGTGCATTTCTAAGTTCAACGAACCGTCGTTTAGCTGACCCAGTGCACGAGTCAGGACGTCGCGGACGGCGTCGCGACGCTTATTTTAATTTTTAACCGACGGCGACGACGCCCGTTCAAATTCTTTGTCCCGCAGCTACTACTTGAAAAACACCGCTCGGTCCGAAAGGGGGCAAATTTATGTACGATAATGACGCTTTAAATTTAACGCGGAAGTGGTCCTCGACAAATTCTCGTTATCTTGTTGTTTATTTTGGGATTTTGTGTGAGGAAAGGCTTCCAGAAGCATCTTAGAATTCCAAGTCAAAGTTTTTCATTAGATTTATTTGTTATTTTTATTTATACATCTGATTTAAACTCATCTTATACTTAATTCAATCAACCGAATTCATTGTTGGATCATAAAAGTTTTACAAAGTGTTTGTCGAGGACGTTTTGTTACTCAATTAACCAATAATATGTCGACACAAGTGATTTAGAAGGATATACATTTATTTAGTGAAGCTTGAAGGTGTGAACATCCCCGCAATCGATTTAGACGGGAGAATAATAATTTACCTCTTCTCAAAGCGGTTTGGATTTCGAGGCAAATCAGATACCTCTGTTTGAAAATAGTTCGATAAGGACCAGACGCGTGTACTTGGAAAACGTGAATACTAAAGTATAGATAATTGACTTAAGTTAGAAGCCGAGGAGGACTGTAACGCCCCTAATTGCCCCTTGAGTTAACAGACACGTTCGGTTTTAAGACGCTGAGAAATGTATCATCACCGGGTTCCAAAAACTGGGCTACATTTTCCGATGGTCAAATATCAACAAACATAGTCGGGATCTCTTTGTTTGTTTGTCCGTTTATCGCTTCCAGGTGTTCGATTTCTAATGTTGCGTGTACGTTTCGGTTGGAAACGTATTAGCAGGAACCATAAAAGTTTGCCGGCGTAAAAGATTTTGGCTTCACAGCCAAAACAGTTTGTCTCAACTTTGACGTAATTCATAAACACCATCTGTTGGTTAGCTCTTTTTAAACAAATTGTTGGCACGGAAATTTTAAATTCCAAACGTTTTCCGAACGTAAACATTTAAATGTAAATTATTTTCGAAATTTATCTTTTAGTTTAATTATGGTGTTATGTAGGTACAAGATGTTCCTTAAAAAAAAAGGTCAAAGGCCATGATGAGAATGATCCTGACGCACTGTTGGCAAGTTGACAAACCCGACGGACAAATTGGCATGTCTAATTAACCGGAACAATGAAATTGGCCTTGTTCATGTGTGTCATTCTAGGTGGTTTCGGTGGCGAAAGACCACCCAAAACAGCCCAACACCCGACGACACGAAGAAGGAACCTGTCGCGTTTAAAATTGGAGACCAGAAGCACAAATATAGAGCCACCATCGAGATGACATCCGTCTCCAGGTGTGCGGCGCGTGACTAACTCTTGAGATTGCAAAATCGTATTTATAAAATTGATGCGCACCCCGTTAATTAAGACGGCAACCCGATTGTGCGTTACTTAACTGTTTGTTTAAGTTTACAAAGTGCAAATAAACCGCGCTTCAAAGCCGATTCGAAGCGACGAGGTGCACCTTTGCTCCTTTTTCTGGTCTGTATTGCACAGGAAGAGGCTCTTTCCCCAGATCTAAATATAGGATGTTGCGTTTTGCTTTAATTTCCCCTCAAATGCGATGAAAGACGGCCCTCTGTGTATTCATATAACCAGGAGGTTTTAAGAAAAAATACAAGCGAAATCCAACAGGATGTTTTTGTAACTCAACAATTTCATTTGAAGCGGCACATTTCACTTTTATAAAGAAGGAAGAGGGTTCTTATCGTTTTTACGCGCACACTTCCGTTGTTATTAGAATTTTTTATTATCTATTTTATGTAAGTACCTGCATAAAAGCTGTGAAAGAAAATAGTATTCTAAAATCCTTTTTTATAAAATACCATTTATAGTTTGTGTACCAGTTTTTTTCTTAGTAACAATCTAAGTCGAGATAATCACTAATTGTACCGCACGTCGCCTAACGTGGAAGCTGGATAAACAGCAGCTTTCTGAAGTAATCCGTTACGGTTAACGTTTCGTTACAATCTCACACAGTTGTTTCCAACATCTAACTGTCAGGACCTCCTTGGAAAGCACCTTTTCCACTAAATTAAACGACTCTTAATGGTCCGCGATTACAATTATCTTTTTCATCCAAGTCCACATTAAACTAGAATTTGGAATTATGAAACCTAAAATTACAATGCGTTTTAAACCTGAAAATAATGAAACGTTTAGACCTGGATTGAGGAAACGCTAAACCTGAATTTAGAAACGCGATTCGTTCTCGAAGGCGCCTAACGCTTATTTTCGGACCTAGCATTGGGACGTTAAAAATAAAATAGGTCAAACAGTAAATTCTGACACGTTAGATCCGTCGAGGTTATAATATACGCGTTTTATTAGATAAAAATAAATTTAGTCGCGAATAAGGGTTTTTATTGAGGCAGTGAATTAATTTTGTATGGCAGAAGATCCGTCCAAACGGTTCGTGCTATTGGCAAAGTAACACTCTTGATTGCTGTCCTGATACAGTTTTAGATGACCTAAATTTAAGATTTGTGCTGGCGTGGCGAAACAACACAATGTTAGAGTACTAATGAAACTATTCATAATTGTTATATGGGTACGTATAAATAAGTTATATAGTTATATAGATATGAAAAGTCTAAATTTGATAAACTGCTATCATATAAATTAATCTGGGTAAAATGATTTGAAAGACAACAATTACAGAATAATGAAATGATGTGTTTTCTGCTTGATAACATACTAAAAGGTTTTACCTTCACAAGTTATATTCATTTCAATATATATCCTCAGGGTACTGTCTGTGACATTTTCATGACACTAGTTTATATGTATTGGTTCTGTTTTCAAATACTGGCATTAAAATATTGTTTGCTCGCTTATCAATTGTTCGAGAAGACTGCACTTCATATAGCTAATTAGAGTGTATTGTATAGAACGGAGTCACATGTTACATGGTCCTGGGTATGTTATTAGTAGACCAAATGAAAAGAGCAAATCTCTTTCTACACAGGCTTTTGAGTTTTAAATTGAGTGATTCTGTGTAGCTAAGAATGTTTTGTCCCGCGGTTGCAAAATTCCTTCTAACTAGTTTTGCTACATTTGTGGACAATTCCTGGTTAAGTCATAAGCCAGACCACTTATTTTGATGTGTTAATCGGAAATCACGATAAGTAGTGATCTCCTCGTGAATGCTGTATTAGTTGTAGCGTGTTATTGGTGCAATGAATGAAAAGGAAAACAATCATTTTGGCCATTGCAATTTTTGGTTGGAAGATGGATCTATTTAAAAGAAAGCTGAAAATCGAATATCCGATATGTTTTCTGATACAACACCTGTTACCAGTTACACAAGAATTCAGAGGCAGCAATGAGCTAGGCATGTTGCCAGAATGGAAGGAGAGCTACCTAGATTGTTAATACATAGTAAAATGCAGTGAGTATCACCGAAGGGAAGAGCACGAAGAAGATGAGAGATGCAAGAGTAGTGCTGAGGTGCGGAAATTGGAAGAGAGAGGCGATAGTGAGGTGTGAAGGCTTAATATGATCAAATATATTATATTGATATAATAAAATTAAAACAGTGTTTGTAAAAACTTTTTTCTTGCTTTAGTTATTCTTAGGGAGTCTATATTCAATTGTAATAAGTTTATTATAAATCTTCCAAATGTGAATTTGATCAATAACAAAGATTTTTTTTTCAGCACAAGTCCTTGTCAATTACAAGAATTAACATTAGATCCTGATGGTACTTATAACCGTAAGTATTCTATTATTACTCTTATCGAAATCATTTAAAATAGATTAAGAAATGTTTTGATAAAGAATTTTGTTTGGTTGTTCTTTTAAAAATACGTGATGTGAGTCTTTTGTGAAGCAACAAATAATAAGTACTTTTTTATAGTCACTTGGAAATTATGGGAAAAGGTTTACAAGAGTCGTAAAGGTGCAAATTTTTCCATAGGGCGTGGGTTGTTTACGTGTCGTTATTTAAAGATGTTTCGTCCGCTAATTGCCTTTGGCTAGTTGCCAAAATTCGGAAAGAGACCGAGTACATCACCGAACAAAGACGGAGAAACGTCATGCGATGGAAAAATGTCGCGGCACGGTGTATTGAAAAATCTCTGGTGGTAGAGAAACATCTGCCAAGTTTCTTACGTTATTTTCATCATTGGCTAGCCAACAGCAACTCGCGTTCTCCTTGAAAACCACTACCGATCTCATTATTCATTTATTTGAAACTTTTTTTTTAATACAACCTATTTTTATCTTTCCCAATTTGATTAAATTTGGATTCCATCAACAGTGAAGGTACTGATCACGTCAAAAGAAAATAACAGCTTCTTTTGGACGTGTTTATTTAAATAAGCCACTGAGTGTCATTAAAAAACGATAAAAAAATAATCGAATCGATCAAACTATTTTGGTCGTGTTAAACAATCCGTTAAAAGTAAGAAAAACCATCTGGCTGTGATCGAATGAGTCAAATGGTTTTCTCGCCTTGACACTGCCTCCGAACGGGAGCTCCCCCTAAACGATTGGAGAACAGCTGGAGAAACACTGCGATCGAAATAAACAAAGCGTTATAAACTTTATCTTTTTCTATTATCCAATGTTTGATTAGCGTCAATTGGAATTAAACGTACCGAGGAGGACGACGTTACCCTTTTTCATTCAGGAGTTAATTGTAGCGCCCTCGGTTTATTGCCGTCCGTAGTATAAAAGCGTCGACCTATTTATATGAATTACCTTTGCCTTTTTATCTTAGGACTTGAACATGTAGAATAACTAACATCGCGATAACGGACCGTTTTATAATTGAAATGGCGCCAACATTCTTTAAGTTGGAGTAAATCCATATTCTATTTCAATCGTTTATTATTTTCTGACACAAACAAAAACATTTAAGTTGGCGTATTCAAACTGATAACAAAATTCGCTCTGTCACATTTTCTCATGTTCGGCCAATTTTTTTTTTAGCCCCGCTCTCCAAATCCCATGATCGAAAACCAACCCCTTTTGGGAATTTCGTGTTTTAATGAAATTATGCGTATTGCTTATCGTCTGAGAGCCGAAGAACTAAGAAGCACCTAGTACCATCAGGTGATGGTGGTTTCATCAGTGGGTAACACCTTTTTGCTCTAAAACAGACGTCGTTACAGACGGAAGGGACGGTTGAGACATTATTCGTTAGGCAATTTTATTGTGTGTGTTATGGTGCGCCGTTAACTCTTTCAAGATTTGTGGTACTGCGATATGGCACGATTGTATATCAAGGATTTACTTAAATCAATGCTCAAAATGGACGGTAATAATTTAAACGATATGAACGCACACTCCACAGCGTCGATTTGCTCAAGGGGTTCTACTGAGGATGAGACCGACCCAGAAACGTTATCTTCTATGAGTAAGCGGGTGGTTTTTTTATTGAGTACACTCGTTCCGCTTTTAATCACTGTCATGTCGATAAATGTTGATAAATATGTCTTATACGCTTCAAACACTGTGTTAAGAATCGTAGCACTTTTATTTATTTAGTTTGTTACAAAATGTAATCATTTTTTGTTTAACTTTATAGATGCTGTTGGTGGATATCAAACTTCGAATATCGGGCAAGCCCGTAGCCGATCAGTTAAGGAGTTTGAAGAAACTCTTACCGCTCTTCGGAAAGAAAACTTCAATCTTAAGCTGAGGATTTATTTCCTTGAGGAGCGGATGGGGACAAACTTTGGCATGGATAAAGAAAATGCGATTAAAAAAAATATTGAATTAAAGGTAATTTTTTATTATTATAAATAACTTTATTAATTCTCTTATTTTGTAGGTGGAAGTGGAGAGTTATAAGAAAGAGCTTGCAGAGAAACAGGATCTCTTATGTCAAGCTGTGAAGGCTATGGAGTTGGATGAAGAAGAACACATTAAAGTGAAAGATGAACTCCAACAGAAAGTTAATAACTTACAGAATCAATTAGATTCGCTCCAACAGAAGTATGATGTAAGTTATTTTTATTTTTCTATTTCTAAAATCATTTTTATTGAATACTATGTATTTAGGATGCTACGGGAGATCATGGTGATCGTGGTTTTGATGATGATAAAGAATTTTATGAAAGAAACTTTGAGAAACATTGCAGTCATGAACCCTACATACAAGAATTAGAAAATAAAATAAAAGAACTTGAAAACGCTGTAAGTACAAATAAAATAGGATAACAAATAAAACGAAAGAGATGTAACATGAATAACACGTTTTTTTAGTCTTGTTAAAAATTGGCCATTTGTGACAACGTGCTCTTAAGTGTTTGTTCTATATTCTTAAAGTGTTTAATTTATTTTAGCTGGAAAAATCGAAAGAAAACGCGCGTGATTTGGACAACCTTTTACAGCTAACAGAAAATAGAAGTAGTAATTTAGCGTCCGTTGAAGAGGAATTAAAAGAAAAAGAAAACGCCTTAAAGAAACAACAAGTCGACATCGAAGAACGCAATAAAATCGTGTCGAATTATCGCGTACGCGTGAGTAAACTCGAAGATGATTTGATTGAAAAGAAAAACGACATTGACTTCATCGCCAAGGAGTTGAAAGAGAAGTGCCTTTTGGTGCAAGATTTAAAACACGACAACGAGGATCTTCAAAAATTGCTGAACGAGAACCAAGCTAACCTAACGTTGGAACGACGCAAGATCGAGAAGCATAAGCTATCGGTTTACGAACGGAACAAGCGGATTATCGAACTAGAAGACGAGGTGAAACAGCTAACGAAAAAATTAACGATTATGCAGGCGCAGTTCGAGGTTGCGGTCAAAACCGAGGTTCAACGTAAAAACGATGGGGCGCGTAAACCTCAGTCACCGCTTACTGACGCTAATAAATTTGCAGTTGTCGAGCCGGCTAAAGGGAATGCCAACACCGCATCCGGCGACGAGCATGTATACAGCAACCCAAGGTCGCCATCACTATCGCAACTAAAACTCTCACCCCGATCTTCATCGCCAAATTTCGAACGTCATCGCGTCCAATCCAAGTCACCTTCACACGCACCGGCCGAATGTTCGTCTAACTACGCCGTTACCACGCCAGATTTAAAACAACACAGTCTTGATCAGTTACAGCAAGCAATCGGAAATTACCAGAAGCAAATCTCCAAGCTCGAACAAGATCAACTTAAAGCGTGTAAACTTATCCAGTTTATGTGCGAAACTCGTAAAAAGAACACTAGAGAAATTGATGAACTTAAATCGATTATTACAAAAAAAGATTTTGAAATCGATCAGCTATCAGAAAAAGTTAGGAAGACTCCTTTTAAAGATCTTAGCATGGTGGAATCCTTGTCTACTCACCTTTTATCGCCCAATCATAGTAAGAAGAGCGTAAATTCAAGAACCGACGTCAGCAAGACTTCTAGCATTGAAGTCGTTACAAATAATGAGGTAGCCCAAAAAATTACTAAATATTGATTTGTCTAATGTAATTAGATATTTGCTTTTTTTTTTTTTTTTTGCTTTTAATTTTAATTGCATGAGTTAGCGCTTTTTATATAGAACTAATTATTGGCGGGTTCCAATTTTTAAAACTAACAACATTAAAGATGCTGAGCGAATAAGCAAGGGTTAATAAGACATTTGCGACATCTAGTATCAATTTGGCGAGTTAAATTAATTGAAATGTCATTTTGTTACAATTCGTGAAATAATTTTTTAAGTATTTAAAATTTTAAATCACCCTGTAGTATTTTTATTAATGTTTTGTCTTCTTTGTAAATAAAATATCTATTTTTAATTTAATATATCTGAAATGAAAATAAGTAATGAGAGAGAAAGAGAAACCTATTGCGGTGCATCAGAGCAACGTTGACACCACTCTAAAAATAGCGTCACTCAAATAGAATCTTTTGAAATGGACCCGGTGTCATAGCTTTCCTCTCCCATACAGTTTTAAGTCTTCTTACAGTGTGCTGTTCAATAAAATTTTACAATTTGTTGATGAAAAAATTAGTTTAACTTAATCAAAACGGGATTGATCAAAATTGGTAGGGTGGGATTTACTTTTGGTTAAATTATTTAGTATTTTTAATTATTTTGCTTTATTTATCATATTGATTGTTGACGCGAGGTTTAAGGTAAAAAATTCCGGCAATGTTTTCTTGCATATGTTCCTCGGCGAGTAGTAGCGAGGTATTTTTTTTGTGCATGTATTTTTGAGTTTTAATCGAATTTGCTTAAAGATACAATTTACCACTTCTTTCTAGTTTTGGTCTGAAATTGTCAACGCCATATTAACAATCATGCCTAATTTGTAATTACGAGCAATGTCCCAACTGTTAACCCTTCCGCAAAATTTGTATGTAAAGAAAACTAACACAAAAAAAAATCTTTATCTTAAATTTTTCTGTAATAACAAATGTATTTAGATTACACGCAATAAAAGACATGCAAATTTTGATTAAGGTTTTTATTTCATTTATCTTAACGCTTAATTCAATATTTTTTTTGTTGATACATACAGACATCTGCTCCTGACTTGATTGAGGACCCTAAGTTGTTACTAGAACAATACAGAGAACTTACAGATAACTTAGAGGAACAAAAACAGGTAAAATCTAATTTATAGTGAAAATAGATTAATTACATTTTTGTTTTTGAAATAGGTTTTGATAAGTACCGTTGAAGAAACGAAAAATCAACTCGAAGATCTTGAATGTAAATGTGAATCGCTCAAGGCTGAACTGAAAACTCGCGAAAATCGAATTGTCGACTTGGAATTTGAACTTCTCTCGTTATCCCAGGGAATATCGAGTGAATCTTTAGGAATGGGGGAGAAGTCTGATGTGGGTAACGAAAAGCCAGCTTCGTTTTTCATCAAAGAACTTGAAGAGAAAGACCGTGAGATTGAAAAGCTCGAATCGGAACTTAAGAAGCGGACCTGTGATCTTCAAGGAATCGTTAACAAAGAACTTTGGGAGAAGAATCGAGAAATTGAAAAATTAACGAAACGTTACAACGAAATCATCGCAACCAAAGACCAAGAATTGAATCAACTCGAAGGAGATTTATCATCAAAAACTCAACAATTGGAGGTTTTAACTGATAGAATATCTGAATTGGGGATAATCGTGAGACATCAAGATGATTCTTTCGAAATAATTAAGAAGGAAAGTCTCGAATTGTGTTCGTTAGAGTTAAAATTAAACGATTCGATCAAAGAACGCGACTTTTATCGAACGCAATTGGTCGAGTATGATAATAAACTCAAACTAGCTACTGAAAAAGCTATCATTGATACACAAAAATTATCGCAGTTAGAAAATGAAGTACAATTGATCAGAGAAGAAAATGAGAAATGTGAAAATCTTCGGCAGGACGCCCTGGAAGTGTGCTCGATTCTTTCAAGACGCCTGGAAGAGTTGGCTTACTTTTTGGACTCTTTGCTTAAGCAGAAATCAGTTTTGGGCTTTTTAGGGACGAAACAAAACGAAAAACTTCGACAACTTATTAATCAAAGCTTAGATATATCTCATACGTTATCGCTCTCTATATCATTAAACCCAAATCAAAGCCTGATGCAACTCTCCAACCTCTCAGCTCTTTTAAACACAACAACACCGATCGAATGTGACGAAAACGGCGATCAAAACGAATACGTTAATAAAATCCCAACGGAAATTTCCCTTACCTATCACAGTCATTTTAGTCAAACAGAACAAATAGGCGAAGAAGGTGGGATTATTGCAACGCTAAGATCGCAAATTGATAAATTAAAGAATGACATTCAAGCTAGGGATATTGAGTTGGAAAAATTGGGCGTTTCTTTAGAAAAAGGCGATAACAATGAAGTAAAAATGTTATCTGTTGTTAAAGTCGATGAATGCATTAAAGAAGACGAGGAAATTATGGATGTGTTATTATCTATTGTTCCCGAATCGCAAGGTGCACAACCATCATCTCAACAAATCTACGAAACATTAGTGTGCACTAAAATAAGCGGATCTGCTGATAAATCAAAGTATGGGATTGATAATTCGGATACTGAATCGTGGTCTGAACCAGATAGAGCCGTATCTAAAGCAAGAATCGGTTTGGGCGATTGTATAACACCAACACAATCAAGAGAAGATATAGGCTCCACTGAAGACGACCCAGAAAAATCTAATTCCGCTTCACGATTAGTTGTATCCAGGAAATCAATTTTGGCAGAAAACCGCCAAACAATAATAAATCTCCACGAACAAATTTGCGAGATGGAATCGAAATTAAGAGAAAAAGAAGCTGAATTAGAAATGCTAAAAGACACCTGTTCGGAAATTACCCTCCAATTAGAATCATCGCAAGAAACCCAAAAAAGAAACATGGAAATAAACGAGGAATTAAAACGTGAAAGAGATGAACTCCTCGAAAATGTTGAAATGCTCGAAAAGAAATTGGCATCGACCGAAATGGTAAAACAAGAAACGCAAATGCAACTTGGCGAGCTTCAAAAAACAATAGAAGAGGTGAAAACCTCGCAGAAAATACTACAAGAAACCGTTGATCTTAAAAACAAAGATGCTCAAAATAAAATGAACGAACTTGAATTAGAAAAAGGATTACTAATTGAAAAATTGAAATTCACAGAACAAAAAGCTCAAGATTTAGTAACTGAATGTATTAATGCCGAGAAAAAATTGCAATTATTACGGGATGAGTTACAATTCATAGAGCAAAGCGTCCGAGAAGAATTACAATTAGATTTTGAGGAAAAACTCAGGGAACAAGACGAAAATTACGAAATGAAGCTTAAATTACTTGAACGTACCGCTGAGGCGGAATTGAAAATGTTTAGGGATGAGGCTGATGCGAAAATTAGAAGGATCACCGATGAAGCTGATTTACAAATTAAACAGTTGGTGATTGATAATCAAGAATTGTTGAGTAAATATGATGCTGAATGTATGCGAAGAGTGGAAGTTGATAAAGTTATGGGATCAATAAAAGAACTAGAAAAGGTAAATTTTTTAAATACAATTTTTTTTAATATAATATACATCTAGAATAACAATTAGAACTAATGCTAACACTAAATCTAGAACTAGAAACATTCCATGAGTCTTTTAAGATGGTTAAATCCGAATTTATAAATAATTTGACATACAAGTGTCATCGTAACGTTAAACGTCATTTTGACATTTAAATTTACAACACATCCTAAAATGATACCAACCTAAATTTTTGAAAATCTTTTGATGAATGTCGAATATATTTTGATTTATAGTATTTCGTTAATTTTAATATTTCAATAAGGTTTTTTTTCATCAAATTAACTGATTTTTGAGTTTTTTTTAATATCTACTTTCTTTAAAGATGTTGACGTTTAATTGTCAAATTGACGTTTAAAAATCAAATTGTTTAGTTTGCAATTGCCAATAGATACAATCATCGTTCAAAAGATGGCGTTAGTTAGAAGTTACTAAACTTAAAATTTATTATAAGAATTTTATTATTTGTTTTTTTATATTAAATCTATATAACTTACCCCGTTTGCATCACAAGCTTAGATATTGTTTAACAACTACACGTTACAAAATAAGTTTATTTATTTATTTATTTTTAGTTCAAAAAAGTTGTAAAAGTAGCTGAAGATAGAATCCGCTCTTTAGAAGACACTGAAAAACATTTAAAACATCAATTACACGACACAGAAATCCAATATCAATCCAAAATAAGTATGTTGCATTGCGAATTAGAAAAAATTAGTTTGTCGCATTCGGAGTCTTTACTAGAAAAGTCTCGTATCCTAACGGAAAAGACGGAACTAGATACGCGTCTTAAAGAATTTGCTGAAAAGGAAATGGAATTCGCCCGTCAAGTGTGCGAGTACAAAGACGATTTTGAAAATATGAAGGACACGTTTCAAAAGCAATTGGCGCATCTTGAGAGTCAAAAGTCGCGGCTTGAATTAAGAATTGGGGAACTTGAACAAGTCAACGCCGAGCTTAGAAATCGATTGGTGAGATTACAAGCTACCGATAATAATCAACAAAATAATCAACAACAAACATCTAAAACGCCCGTTGCCCACCCGGCATCAAGTCGCATATTGGAGCTATTTTTGAATAAAACAGTACCAGCGAGTTTTAAGAGGCAGTATTCCGAGAATTCCGAGTATTCCGAAGATCACAATAATTCTGGTAGAAACGTGTTTGGAGGTCCTGCTGTTTCAGGATCCGCTGAAATCGATAGACAACACGCTAACTCATCTCCCGATCTTGGAATTGAAAGCGATCACGGCCGATTTTCAAGTTTGGAAGCCGCGGTTAATATCAATAGACCGTTTTTGAAAACATTGGAATTGACGGAATCTATGAGTAATCTATTAAGTAAAGACGACGGCCAAGTTGTGTCATGCAGTAAGTTTTTACCCAATATTTTCCTTTTTATTTATTTTTTTTAATGTAGAATCAAAAAGGAATTTTTTTTTAAATAAAAAAGAATCTGAAAAATGCTCTTTTTCTTTAGACTCTTCGATGTGCCTTGTTGATAGCGATTCAACGAGTTTGGAAGTTGATGCTCTTTGATACAGGTTCACTGGGGATCAAGAAAATAAGTAAGCTAAATAATCTGTGAAAAAGTGAGACTTTGTCAATTATTATCTGACTATTTGTCAGAGATTATCCCTGTTAATTTGATGTTTTTATCTGTTGATTTAAATTTTATAAAATTGAGCATTTTTCATTCGTTTATTACCCAAGTTTATACATTTTTGTATTAATTTCTTTTTATTATTTTTTAGATAATGACATATGTTGTACGAAAACGAAAGAACTGGTAAACGAAAACAACGATTTGCGTAAGAAATTGTTACGAACGCGTCGAGCGCTAGAAGATACGGTTAGTCAATTAACGATGGCTAACCAACGTAAAAAACAAGTTGAAAAAACGATTTGCAAACAGATTCACAAGACTAGTCAGGTGTTGCGTAAGGCGAAGGCGAACTTAGACAACGGCTCAGATCATGAAGTTTTAAAGCAGTAACAAAAATAGTATTGTCCGGAATTTTTTGTTTCCTTTTTTTATGTATATATTTGTTTAGTCCATTATTATTTTAGCTTACGACTTTTTTATGCTGTACAAAGATAGGTGATTAAAAAAAATTTTTTTGGTAAACGTAAATTTGCTCGAGTTAATTAGATTTAAATATTATTTATAAAAAAAAAACGGAAGCATATCTCTATTATTTAATCCACTTTTTTATGACTGATTTAGGAGTACATTCCTGTTTGTGAACGTGAATTTATTTGAATGAAAGAGTAAAGTTGCATTTATTTTTTGTTTTGTTCTCGAATACAAAGAATGTACAAAAAAAACTGTGGAAATTAAATGACCCGTGTTAAGATTTTTAAGTTTTTTAAAGTATTAGATTGCAAAATGTTGATCGAAAAATAACATAATAGTTTTGTAAGTGTTCATGTGTATAAATTAAAAAGTCTTGTACATAATGTTGAACCATTTTTTCCAAAATACATAAACTGTTTTACAAATTGGGTTTTATTAACCTTTTATTCATAAAAAGTAACAAGGGTTATGAATTATTTCTTAAACTGATATTTAAAATAATAATTTACGAACTTGTGGTAACAAATTGATTTTTAATTTTTTGTATTAAATCTGCTTTCTTATCTCTCGTAGAACAGTGTAAATTTCTTTCTTTCAACCAATGAAACAAAGTCGTTGTTGTAAGTTTTTCAATAGTATTATTATCAACGTATTCTTTCATATTTTCTATTTTAACCGGTTTAGGTTTCGGTCGAGCTTTTTTAGCTGGGGTCACATTCTAAAAAAAAATTAATTATTAAACTCAAAATTAAAATACGCAAATCTTACTCCAATTAAATCACCAGTTCTTTTATTATTCGCAGCTTGACTTTCCTTCAAACTAGTTTCATTTTCATTTTTTGTAATCGCGATTTCATTTTCCGTATCGATTTGTAATGGTTTCTCTTCAGTATCAGTTTCGCATTCCTGCTGATTTTGACCTACGATTTCTTTTGGTTCTTTATCACAATTCTCAACATCTAAATTTTTTTTACTATCTTTAGTTGGGGGCTACCCAAAAACAGGGGAAAATAAAAAATTATTTGACAACACAAAAAATTACTGCATGATTTGTGTGCATCAGTGTGCATGATGAATTGACAAAATACACTCACCATCGCGTTCAGCACGAAATCCTATACCGTCCTGTACCGCGTTGTATTACTGTCCTGTACCTGTTTATTTGCAATATTTTGTTTATATGCAAACATCACCATAGAGAAATAAAATCAACATCAATACATACATATTTGATTTTCACAAATAGTGTGATTTAATTAAAAATACTTTATTTTATCCGTTTCCTCTCATGCTTACTATCTTAATAGATGTATACATAATAGTGATAACACGTGATTTAATGATTTAAATTCATCATAATTGCTATAGATTGTAGATTGATTGTAGCTTCCTGGGAAAGAAGGTTGTTGACAGTATGATAAAGATTTTCATTCAAAGAATTTCATTTGCAGTGTATACGAGGTTAAAGATAATTCCATATCCACTTGGAATATGGAATAAGAACTAAAACTCTCAGCATCCCATCCCAAGATATGTAAAAGATGCAAAGAATAATCTGCACCACGACCTCACCGACATGATAAAAACTTCAAAATGCAAGGAGGATTCTTATTGACTAGAAATAATACTTTTAAACCAACTAACGATATCATGATATCATCAAAGCTTTTTAAACAATCATTTGCAACACAAGATTTGAATTTTAAAAGTTTTTAAAAAACCTTGACTTTGAAATTAGAACCTGTAGTCCGAAAGATCCAAGGTCGAATAGTTAAAGACTACATTTAATAAAAACTTTAAAGTTTAAGAACTTTAATTTAAACAAAATCCATTCTGTTCACAATTCATACATAGCGCCAATTAATATACAAAACACCCTGTTTTATCGACATAAATAGTAACTAACTTCACGATTGTGTACATTGTACAAAAATCACTATAAATGTGGTTCCATAAATTATATAGAACAATACTAAAATATTAATTATTGAAATAATTTTTTGTAATAACTGTGATAATAACAATAAATATGTCAGAACACGGAGCTGCTCTTCAAACTTATAATCAAGAACTAGTTAAATGTAATTAATTGTGTTAACAAAATAAGTAATCTCAACATTCCTTTTTTTGTTTAGGTTTAGAAGATTTAAGATTAAAAAGGGAGAAATTACAAACGATTATCGATGGTGAAGAAAATAATAAGAATATTTTAGAAAAGAATATAAAAGCTTTACAGGATAAACTTCATGTTGTGAATACAAATCTAAATAATCACAGAGATATTAGAGATAATTACGATAGAATGATAAAAGACGCAGAAAATGGTTTTAAAAAGGTAAAATTTACAATGTTTTAATGATTTATATAAATTTTAATCTTAGATTTTAGATAGTTCTCAAACTTTGCTCAACTTGGTACAACATGAAGCTAGTTCTTTAGATAGTCGCATTGATAAAATTAAAATAAATGATTAAAGGAATTTGTTTATTGAAATAAACCATTTTTTAATTGTTATTTTAATTATTTTAATTTGTTATGTTTTTATTAGCGCCATCTGGTAGAAAATGTGTCAAATGGCTCTAGTGGTAAAACGTTATGTAAACAGAGATTTTCGCCGTATATTTATTCGATCACAAAAAGCCGCAAGTTTTAAAAGTAAACGACCGATTGCGTCACATAACGGAGTTTCTAAAAGTGGTACCCCGTTCATTTTTTCGCACTAAATTTTGTACTCATTATTTTTTTTTGCTTAGCGGGTCACAGCTCCGTTCTGTGGTAGTAGTTTCTTTCTCTGTGTGTGCGCGTGTATATGTATGTAGTAGAGAGTCGATGCACAAGTGCGGCCATGTTTACTATAAGGAAAGTGATCGGCGAACGGTTAAAATAATATTTTGTGATTTACGGTGAGTTTTCTCGCGTTTCATCGAGGGGGACCCGTCGCGAACGTCGACGGATGAACCATGGAATCGACGGACAGAGGTACGTGGGTAGTTTTATGTTATTAATAGACGAGAACATGGTAATTTTGCGGTGGGCTAGTTCGGAAAGGGCAATGGCAAAGTCAGGGTCGAGTTATTTGGTTCACTGACCGCATTTCTCTCAACAAATCGCACAGGATTCCCTTAACTTAATCGACTTTTATTACCGTTTTCTAACCTTAATATCATTCCTTTCCCTGCTATTTACAAAACTTAATTTTCATCATAACCTAACTTTATCATTCAAACAATAATAATTCCAATTTTATTCGAAATTTTATTTAAAAATCGTTATTACATTCCATTTAAAGATTTGATAATAATAATCTTTGTTGTTTTTATTGTAGAATTTAAAAAAACGTTATTCTTTGTTATAAAGTGAATTTTTTGAGGTTAAGCAAACAGGTATCTGTTTTCTTTCATGCAACTTCGTGTGTTTACCTACAGGTGTCACTGGTAAGTTTTATATTTAAATTCGAATTTATAAAATCGATGACATGATTTGACAAAACTTTCACGCATTATTGTATATTATTATTAACGCTATAGTCACAGCTATAACAAAAAGTCAGGAAATATACAGCCCTAAACATAAAAGGACGGAAAAATCAGTGGAATAACTACACTACTGATACAGGATAGAAGAAGCAAGAAAAGCTACAGAACAACCACAAATGAAGAGATCAGAGAAATGAACAAGTATCTAAAGCAATAAGAAGAGATATCAGAAAATATAAAAAGAAAATCACACTTTGGCATTGAGACAAAAACCAGGTGAAGACAATAGGCATGTTTTGGTTCAAGAATTCTGTAATTCCAGATCATCCACATCCATTCCACACAAACCTGACCCAACCCATCCATAAGCAGATGAGACAGTAAATATATAAACCACACCTCCTAACCTAACCCTGAGCCAATTCCAGATCATCCTCATGATGTCAAGAGGCGAAATATGTTTCCATTTTTGAGAGAAAAATTAATTTAACGCATAAATTAAACATCATATTATTCAACAGGATACTGTTTTAAAGTCCGACGTCGTTAGACAAGTTACGATAAGTTACAATGATTTGAAAAATGTCTTATATCGAAAGAAATAATCTCTTAGAGCAGCTAACTTCGAAGGTGCTAAATATCATTCATGATAATTGGGACGCAGAACATCTAAAAAGACCATAAACTATAATTACGTCATTATACCGCTCCAATTAATTTTATTAAGAAATTTGCTAATGTTTACACATGAAAAAGCTGGTTATGCAAAAATTGAGTTTGACCTGAATTTTAAACTGCAAACTCCGCATATTTTCCAACTACGAAAAGTAAAATCGTTGGACAGTTTTTTTTTAACAAGGCGATTTATTAAAATCTATTTGATTTACGAGACCTCGCGGTGCCATCTGCACCAATATTTTTGTTTTAAACTGGAATTTCTCATTGGGGAAGGTCATGAGGTAGATTATTTTCGGGACTAAACCCGGTCGGTGCGTTTGTTTATTCACCAACTGCGCATCCTTATATTTCTGCCACACCTCGTCCTGACGAATGAAATTTTCACGTAGGTGTTATATTAGAGATTTTCATCTAAAAGGAATTTAAAACATTCAGATTTTTATTTGCATATTAAGGTTTCATTAAAATTACTAAAAATAGTTATATTTTAAGTTTCGCAAAGAGAATAAATCGTAACTTTAGTGAGCGAACCCGTTTCGTTTAGGACGAGACTCAAGGTTACTTTATTATGTTCGTTTAATTTTAGCATTCAAGAACTTTAAAATCATCTTGAAATTATTTGATTTTTTTTAATTATTGTTATTACAAATTTTTTGTTTTATTTTTAGTTAATGATTTGTGGCAATTTTTTTCGCTTCCAAATTGCATTTCCTGTCTTATACATTTCTATTCGTAGATATCCTGCCAGACGTGCTTTTTAGGGGGGTCTTGTTTTGAAAATGGTCGGCCGCTTCGCTGTCGGAAGTTGAGATTTGAAGGTCATCTGAGTACGGATGTGGAGAGAGGGGTTTTTCTCATTCCCTTCGTTGCATTCGTACGCGATATTCTTTTTTTGCAACGTTCCAAGGACAGCTGGTATTTAGAGATGATGCATTGTTTCTTTGGCAATTTTTTTTTTGTGCTCGTGGAGTAGCCCTTCCACTCCAATTCTTCTCATTCTCCTTGCAGTTTCCTGGTGAGCCATTAAAATTCGATTATAACCATGATTAACCCGTCAGATCATCAGTTCTTTTCCTTTACCTTCTTTGGTTAAATATTCAAATTACATTTTCACTAAAGTACCAATTAACTTAAACGATCATCTGTCTGACCTTCAACATTTAAATTGGTTCATCAAGGTATTCAAAACTAAAACACATCGTTATCACAATTTAATAAATTAATTGAAAGATTTAAATATACAACTCAATTTTTGAAAATAAGGATGCATGTTTTCTTGTCATTCCGGAAGACCTTGACATGGACAATTTCATCCACACAGAGAGGCAGCACACGGGTCAAGGACACGCAAAGCACCGGAATAGTCGATAAAGTGCACGTTGACGCGCTGCAACTGGGTCAATAGCTAAAGAGGGGGGTTTAACGAAGTCGAAGGACGGAAGGGATTTTCGTCTCTTGACGATGTGGAAGAGGGTCGTTTCCGATTCGCTCGTATAAGCACGTGCAAGGAATTTATAAAAATGTAAAATTCACATGAAAACCAGAACGGGTGATTTTTCTAAAAGGAACCAGTTTTTAAGTACGAGGAGAAAACAAATTGTGTGGCACAAAAGAAATATACAAGGAGACCGTTATAACAAATCTTGAATTTAACTACATGTAAATACGTTAATTAAGAATAAAAGGCGATGGAAAACTGGTTTTTTAAATTTTGGGACTGTCTCCCATAAGGTTCATACAATAAACCTTCAACTTCCTCTTTATGCATAGTTAATCGACTTCGAAGACTTCGGCTGCCCGAAGTATAAATAAAAACACTCAAAGTACACGCTTTCTTTGGGAATTTTATAGAGTTTTTTAAGTAAAAAACAGCTTAACAACTCTAACTAAAGAAGAATGGGATTGTACTTTCAACACACCAGATGATTCTACGTGGTATGTTGTGGTATCAAAAACCATATATTTTTTGCTTTTGGCTATCGTTGTCATAATTTTGTAATTTAGCACACAGAGTTGAGCTACTTGCAGTAAAAATGTACTGCAAGTAAAGTATTCAGTACTTGTTTACCTTAAGTAGTTTACTGCCACTACTTTCAAATTGTAGATATGTAAATACTTGTACTTTCAGTATTTAGCTGGATACTTGGACTGGATACTTGTTATTTGTTTGACATAAGAAGTACTTGAAGAACTATTTGTTTACTCCAAGTAGTTTACCGACTTCCAGTACTTTCAATATTAAGTAAAATAACAATTTTTTAAAGTTTTCTTCAAAATCCTAGATAATCTTAGGAATTGAAAAATCAGTTGAAATTATAATTATCCTATATTAGCGGCGGTAGTGTAACAAAAAAAAAAAAAAGCAAAGTTGATTATAACAATGACAGTGACAGTGGAAAACAAATCATAAATTCAATTCTGACAAACGGAACGATTTATCGCCAAAGACGATATCTTCCAATCGACCCAGTCTAAACTATATTACAATGATACCACCAGATATACAGAATAGTAAGTAATTAACGCACGCATAATTAGCCAAAAGCGAAAAAAAAAAAAAAAACACACAACAAAAAGGAGGGAAGAAAAGTGTAAGAAATGCACAGAGTAACAAAGCAGAAAAGAAAGAAGGTGAATAAGGAACATAGGCAAGAAAGTAGAAAAGAAGAAAAGGAAGTAAAATATTACAAGATCGCAATTTGACGGGAGAAGAGGAAATGTGTAAGACAAGTGTTGAAAGATGACAGGGTTGGAGCGTTTCTAATATCCATGGGGAGACCATTCCAGAGGGATATGGCGTACAGCGTAAATGACCTGTGGTACAAATTCGTATGATGTATTGGGAATAGAAGAATTAAGTCCGATTGCGAACGAGTGGGACGCTCGTGTGATGATAAGAATTTAAAATTATTAAATAAGTACTGTGGACTCTGAGTCTTAATAATCTTATAGAGACTTGTTAACACACGGAAGGACCGACGGTTTACGTAAGTAAGCAAACGTAAGTTATTGCGGTAAGGAGTAATATGACAATATTTCCCAAGATCGAATATAAAACGTATGCAATTATTTTGTAATCTCTGGAGTTTATTACACAAAGATATCGACAGGTCAGTACAAACCGTATCTGCATAATCAAGATGTGGAAAATTCAGCGAATAACAGAGGTTGCGTCGAACGTAAAGTGGAAGAAAACACTTAAACTTACGGAGGGAGTGGAAACAAGAGTAAACCCTGTTACAAATCGCCTGAACCTGGGGGCGCCAAGACAGTGCAGAGTCCATCATAACTCCAAGATTCTTAATTACATCCGAAAATTTAATGACGGTGTCACCAAGTAGACGTTGCGAGTTAGCAAAA